TAAATTCCCACGTGAATGGAGAGTAAAAAAATGGGTGGCTCAAATTCGAAAGGGTTACTTAGCTGGTACGGGGGTGTTCTAATAGGCATAATAGCATAAGGTAAACGTACCTCAGATCTCAAATTATAAATTTTAGGGGCAGGCGCAAAGACTTCAAATTCTATTGGAAACTCGCCGAAATCTCCGCTTTCGATTCCAGTACCAACGTTCCAAGAATGAACTTACTCTATGAGTTCGAGATGGCTTGCCGTAAGTAATAGCCCTCATTTGAGTACAACTTTGACGATTGCGATCCATATATCCATTTATTTGGTACACGTAAAACTTAAATGAAGATATTATTTGCGAGCAGTTTCGGTTCGCCCATTCGACAATCTTAATTTTACAAAAGTAAGAATGCCAGACTAAGAATCAGAGATCATGTTAGTATTAACCGGAATGAGTCAGTGTTCACTGCCGTTTCCGAGAGCGTCTCCTTTGTCAAAGCGTTAACTGTCATTATCGATCAGCAACTTGAAGTTGTGGCTGTACGTGTCGACCGTAGGCCAATCGATTTTTCCTCGTTCGCTGCCTGCTCCTCGAGTGGATTTTGGCATATGTTGACGGCGGGGGATGCTGGTAATCCTACTTCCACTTCCGATAGGCTCGTCGCAACTACTGTGGGCCGATGAACCTCAAAAGCGGAAAGCCTGATGCTTGAAGCATGGTACTCAGATGCCATCTCCGTCAGCACGCGTCTAGCCCTCCCCGCAGCCTACAAAGTCCTACGCCAGGCAGCGAACGAGGAAAAAATCGATCAGCCCACGTACAGCCACAACTTCAAATTGCGGATCGATAATGACAGTTTACGCTATGGCAAAGAAGAGCCAGGCCAGCTCTCGGAAACGTCAGTGAACACATCAATTCACTCTAGTGAGCACTAACTTGATCTCTGCTAAACACTCTTTCAAATAATGCACTTAACGGATTCTACATTGGATGCAGTTCTTTGCCATATAGGCCTCCCTACAAGACACACAGCCTTTCCTCCCAGCTAAAAAACAGTATCTACTTAGAGATGTGACTCATTTTTTTACGAAGAATGGGAAATTATTTGTGGTGCTGTTTTTGATGATTATGACGATGAGAGGGGAGTGGTAAAGGAGGAAGAGGGGAGGAAAAGAAGAAGAAAAAGCTCATAGAAGGCTGCAGAGCCAACCAGAACAACGTTTGCTATCAACCCGATCTGAGTTTTGGAGCAAAAGCTGGCAGGTCTAAGATGCACTAAACAGAGCAGAGCAATCCCAACAGGCGGATGTGTAGTTGACCTACTCCTCGTTTCGGCTCACATAGCAACGCTGACGTACAGCGCAGTAAGCCTGAAATACGATGCCACGTATGTATACCGGTTCCACGGCCAGGGGGAAACTA